TTGAATGGCAGAAAAATGCTTTCATCCGCCTGTCTGTCGCCTAGATGGTGAAGTGGCACAGCTCTTTGAGATACGTACTCGAAGCCTAGGAGCCTAGGAAGTGTGCGCAAACTGTGTAAATTCTGCAGATGCGAAGCCAATGCAAAGTGCCCTTGCAGAATACGCGGCAATCGTGAAGCTCGCAAGGCTGCAGACGATCGCCCGATGGCCCTGAACAAAGGATACCTGCGCTTGATTAAAGGCTCTGGCATTCTTACATCGAATGGCAGAGAGATGCTTTCATCCCGTCTACTGGCTGGGTGGTGAAGTGGCACAGCTCTTTGAGCTACGTACTCGAGCCCTGGAAAGTGTCTGAAAGCAGTGCATAATGTCTGCAGATGCACGGGGCGAGGCAAATGCATAGTGCTTTCGCAGAGTACGTGGCAGTCGTGAAGCTCGCAAGGCTGCAGCAAATCGCCAGATGGCCCTGAACAGAGGGTACTTGCGTTTGATCAGAGGCCCTTGCAATCTCAAACTGAAGGGGCATTAGCGGGCAAAGAGAGAATCGCTTTCTTTTGCCCGTCTCCCATAGAAGACATGGAGAGGGGTTTCGAGGGTTTCTGCAAGAGCAAGCTCCAAGCCATGCCAACAACTTTGATGCTCCGGGCTGCGACTCTTCTCAGGGCTTCATCTGCTCAGGATGCTCGAAAATGTCGCGTGCGACCCCTGTTGAAGTGGCACAGCTTTTTGAGCTACGCGTAAGCTGCGTAGATTCTGTGTGAGTTCTGCAGATGCGCGGGGCGAGGCCAATGCACAGTGCCGTTGCAGAATACGCGGCAATCGTGAAGCTCGCAAGGTTGCAGCAAGTCGCCAGCTGGGCCTGAACAGAGAGTACTTGCGCTTGATCGGAGGTCTTTGCCCTCTCAGACTGAAGGGGGAATAGCGGGCAAAGAGAGAATCGCTTTCTTTTGCCCGTCTATCGCCTAGGTGGTGAAGTGGCACAGCTTTTTGAGCTACGTACTCCAAGCCTAGGAAGTCTGCATAAACTGTGTAGATTCTGTGTAAATTCTGTGTAAATTCTGCAGATGCCAAGCCAACGCACTACTAGAATACGCGGCAATCGTGAAGCTCGCAAGGCTGCCGCCAATCGCCAGGTGGCCCTGGACAGGGGGTACTTGCGCTTGATCAGAGGCCTTTGCATTCTCAGACTGAAGGGGACATAGCGGGTGAAGAGACAAATGCTTTCATTTGCCCGTCTCCCATAAAAGACATGAAGAGGAATTTCAAGAATTTCTGTAAGAGCAAGTTCCAAGCGATGCCAACAACTTTGATGCTCCGGACTCAGCACGCAAGGAAGGTCGGCTGATGTCGGCTGAAACCGTCTGCTGTTGCGAAAGGCATCTCCTCATCGCTTTTCGATCGCTGAATGTTGGACTCGAGCGGGCCGTAAAACAAGGGCCGTATGGCTCTAAATATGCAGGGCACGTGCGCTTGATCAGAGGCCGGGGCAATTCTCAGTGGGGGAGGCAGGGAATGACGAGTACCATGTTCGCCCGTAAACTGCAGCTGTCTCTCGTAACCCATGGAAGACTTGGGCAAGGGTCTGCAAGAGACTTCTGACGGCTCTCCACGTCTACTTCAGGGTGGAGCACAACTGTTTTTCTTAGGCTTAACTCGCTACCGGCAAATGCCCAGGTGATGCAGGATGCGTCCATCCCACACCAAGGAGGCAGAGAGCATGGTCGGCCGTAGGGCATGCTGTCGACACCCGCACGAGTCTCCGTCCCGCGAGAACTCCAGCACCACGCTTGCCAATGGGCCTGAAAACGATGCAAGAGCTTGACGGACCCAAACGGAGGCCAGGCAGGTGCACGAAGAAACGCGACTGGCGAAGTGGTCTGTCAAACTGGGCGGTAGGCGGTAGGCGACTACATCTGTGGCGTGAAGAACAATGTGGCATGCGGGGAAGGGTCCAGAGAAGCAATTGCCAGCAATTGCATGCCCTGCTCTCCTGCCCTTCCTATTCCTAGAGCTTCATCTGCCTCGGCCGATGTCGGCTGCAGTTGCGAGAAAAATGTCCACACCATATGTCTGCTTGGGAATCCGGAGGCGGCTTGCCTGATCGTGCCTCTTTCTCCATGTAACTTCTGTCTATATTCTGCAGATGCGCAGGGCGAGGCCGATGCATAGCGCCCTTGCAGAATATGCGGCAATCGTGAAGCTCGCAAGGCTGCAGACGATCGCCAGATGGCCCTGAACAGAGGGTACCTGCGCTTGATTAAAGGCTCTGGCATTCTTACGTTGAGTGGCAGAGAGATGCTTTCATCTGCCCGTCTACTGCCTAGGTGGTGAAGTGGCACAGCTCTTTGCGCTACGTACTCGAGCCCTGGAAAGTGTCTGAAAGCGGTGCATAATGTCTGCAGATGCACGGGGCGAGGCAAATGCATAGTGCTTTTGCAGAGTACGCGACAGTCGTGAAGCTCGCAAGGCTGCAGACGATCGCCATATGGCCCTGAACACAGAGTACTTGCGCTTGATCAAAGGCTGGCATTCTACCTTGATGGTGAAGAGCGGGACTCTTTCATCTGCCCGTCCGTCGCCTTCACGCATGCCTGCACAGGTGGCACAGGTGAGGCGGCACGGGTCTTTGAGCTATGTGCTCCAAGCCTAGGAGCCTAGGAAGTGTGCGTAAAATGTGAAAACATTCTCAGTAAATTCTGCAGATGCCAAGCCAATGCACAGTGCCCTTGCGAAATACGCGGCAATCGTGAAGCTCGCAAGGTTGCAGCAAGTCGCCAGTTGGCCCTGAACAGAGGGTACTTGCGTTTGATCAGAGGCCCTTGCAATCTCAGACTGAAGGGGAAATAGCGGGCAAAGAGAGTATCGCTTTCTTTTGCCTGTCTCCCATGGAAGACATGGAGAAGGGTTTCAAGAGTTTCTGCAGGAGCAAGTTCCAAGCGATGCCCAAAACGTTGATGCTCCGGGCTCCGACTCTTCTCAGGGCTTCATCTGCTCAGGCTGCTCGCAAAGGCTCAGCGGGGAAGGAAAGTCGGCTGATGTCGGCTGAAACCGTCTGCTGTTGCGCTTGGCATCTCCTCATCGCTTTTCGATCGCTGAATGTTGGACTCGAGCGGGCCACAAAAGATGCGCCGTATGGCTCTAAATGTGCAGGGCACGTGCGCTTGATCAAATCCGGGGCATTCTCAGTGAGGGAGGCAGGGAATGGAGAGTACCATGTTCGCCCGTGGACTGCAGCTGTCTCTCGTAACCCATGGAAGACTTGGGGAAGGGTCCAGAGAAGCAATTGACAGCAATTGCATGCTCTGCTCTCCTGCGCTTCCTAGAGATTCATCTGCCTCGGCCGATGTCGGCTGCAGTTGAAAGAAGAATGTCCACACCATATGTCTGCTTGGGATTCCTGAGTCGACTTGCCTGATGGTGCCTCCGCACACGGCAGCGATCCGATGGGAGTGCTGAGAGTGCGGCGCTGTCTCGCTAGAAGACGTTTGTGATGTGATCACGCGCAGTCTAGGCATTCTACCTCGAAGGAAACTCCACTGACTCAGGGGACTGGCGCAAAGACGCTCTCAGCAGAGATGCCCTAGACAAGGCTACAAGGCTTCACCCCCTCCAAGCAGCTGGCTTGGGTCACATGAGACGTGTAAAACATGAGAGCAGCACAGAAGCAAGAAATGAGACCAGGCACTGTGGGTGGTGAAGGGGAAGGCACTGTCGAGCCAAACTTGCGCACAGCAGAAAGGCCAACTCACACTTGCAGGCACGCACGGCGTGGCAAATTTTCCAATTGAGATCTGAACTCTACGCCGAGCTGCGGACCTCCCACAGCTAGCACAGGTGGTGAAGTGGCATTAAGCCTAGGAGCCTAGGAAGTGTGCGTAAAATGTGCAAACATTCTCAGTAAATTCTGCAGATGCCAAGCCAATGCACAGTGCCCTTGCGAAATACGCGGCAATCGTGAAGCTCGCAAGGTTGCAGCAAGTCGCCAGATGGCCCCGAACAGAGGGTACTTGCGCTTGATCAGAAGCCCTTGCACTCTCAAACTGAAGGGGCATTAGCGGGCAAAGAGAGGATCGCTTTCTTTTGCCCGTCTCCCATAGAAGACATGGAGAGGGGTTTCGAGTGTTTCTGCAGGAGCAAGTTCCAAGCGATGCCCAAAACGTTGATGCTCCGGGCTCCGACTCTTCTCAGGGCTTCATCTGCTCAGGCTGCTCGCACAGGCTCAGCACGCAAGGAAAGTCGGCTGATGTCGGCTGAAACCGTCTGCTGTTGCGGTTGGCATCTCCTCATCGCTTTTCGATCGCTGAATGTTGGACTCGAGCGGGCCACAAAACAAGCGCCGTATGGCTCTAAATATGCAGGGCACGTGCGCTTGATCAGAGGCCGGGGCATTCTCAGTGAGGGAGGCAGGGAATGGAGAGTACCATGTTCGCCCGTGGACTGCAGCTGTCTCTCGTAACCCATGGAAGACTTGGGGAAGGGTCCAGAGAAGCAATTGCCAGCAATTGCATGCTCTGCTCTCCTGCGCTTCCTAGAGATTCATCTGCCTCGGCCGATGTCGGCTGCAGTTGAAAGAAGAATGTCCACACCATATGTCTGCTTGGGATTCCTGAAGCGACTTGCCTGATGGTGCCTCCGCAAACAGGCTGACTTGGGTCACAAGAGACATGTAACACGTGAGGACAGCACAAAAGCAAGAAATGAGACCAGGCACTGTGCCTGGCAAAGGGAAAGAAACTGTCGAGCCAACGTGCGCACAGCAGAAAGGCCAACTCACACTTGCAGGCACGCACGGCGTGGCAAATTTTCAAATTGAGATCTGAACTCTACGCCGAGCTGCGGACCTCCCACAGCTAGCACTGCTTGGGCCTTGAGCCGACAGATAGCCGACGTTGCCTTCACGAATGCCTGCATAAGTGGCACAGGTGGTGAAGTGGCACGGCTCTTTGGGCTACGTACTCGAGCCTGGGAAAGCGTCCGTAAACTGTGCAAAATTTCCGCAGATGCACGGGGCGAGGCAAGTCCATAGTGCCCTTGCAGAGTACGCACTTGCGCTTGATCAAAGGCCCTGGCATTCTCACATTGAGTGGCAGAAAGATGCTTTCATCTGCCCGTTTGTCGCCTTCACGAATGCCTGCACTGGCGGCACAGGTGGTGAAACGGCGCAGCTTTGTGAGCTGCGTACTCGAGCCTGGGAAAGTGTCTGTAAAGTGTGCGTAAACTGTGTATATTCTGTGTGTATTCTGGAGATGCGCAGGGCGAGGCCAACGCATAGTGCCCTCGCGAAATGCGCGGCAAGCGTGAAGCTTGCAAGGTTGCAGCACGTCGCCAGCTGGCCCTGAACAGAGGGTACTTGCGCCTGATCAGAGGCGCTTGCACTCTCAGACTGAAGGGGACATAGCGGGTGAAGAGACAGATGCTTTCATTTGCCCGTCTCCCATGGAAGACATGGAGAGGGGTTTCAAAGGTTTCTGCCGGAGCAAATTCCAAGCGATGCCAACAACTTTGATGCTCCGGGCTGCGACTCTTCTCAGGGCTTCATCTGCTCAGGCGGGCTCAGCACGCAAGGAAGGTCGGCTGATGTCGGCTGAAACCGTCTGCTGTTGCGCTTGGCATCTCCTCATCGCTTTTCGATCGCTGAATGTTGGACTCGAGCGGGCCACAAAACAAGCGCCGTATGGCTCTAAATATGCAGGGCACGTGCGCTTGATCAGAGGCCGGGGCATTCTCAGTGAGGGAGGCAGGGAATGGAGAGTACCATGTTCGCCCGTAAACTGCATCTATCTCTCGTAACCCATGGAAGACTTGGGGAAGGGTCCAGAGAAGCAATTGCCAGCAATTGCATGCTCTGGTCTCCTGCACTTCCTAGAGCATCATCTGCCCCGGCCGATGTCGGCTGTTGTTGAGGGACGAATGTCCACACCCTGCTTGGGTATCCTGAGGCGACTTGCCCCGTCGTGCTTCCACACACGGCAGCGATCCGATGGGAGTGCTGTGGGGCCTAAAGGGCCTAACCTAGGGGCCGAACAGAAGGGACCTCCCCAAAGGCGTACCGCCGACCTTGGGCGAATTTTGTAGGCCGAAAACCTCCAAAACGAACCTCGGCGAAGTCAGGCGACTTCAACGAAGGCAAGAGATGGGTTTAGGATGCTGCGCTTGCCGAGTCTGATCTTCACTTCCCTCTCAACTTGCCCCCAGCGGGGTCGACGAACCCTGAACCCGAAGAAGCCTCAACGAAGGGGGGGAAGCCTCGATGAAGGCGGCGGGCTTAAACGAACTTTGTCCAAGGTTCTCGTGGTGATTGCCCTTTGGACGGGTCCCTTGCGTTTAAACCCCCCACTCTCCCTGGACCAGAGAATCTGCAGATTTTGAGAAAGTTTACTTGAGGACTGCAGCACCGCAGTGTCTGGCACGTGGGTTCCAAAGCACACCAAGATGGGCTTCGGTGTCTTGAAGCAGATTGGGGGAAATTGCTTTAATAATTTAAGCAAGGACATGCAGCCGGACGGGATTTCGCCCGGATTCAACCAAAGAAGCCCAAGAAACAGCGAACCCCTCTCCAAGCCTCGAAGCCCGAACCCGGCCTAGACAAAAGCAAATGGCCAAACGTGGCCTGAAGGACTGAAGTCCATTGTGGAGTTTAAGGTGCCTGGATCACTGCCTCGCTGGATGATGTTTGTGTGATCACGAGCTTTCCAGGCATTCTGCCTCGAAGGAAACTCCACTGACTCTCATAAACATTGAGTGACTAGGCAGATGGGACGAGGGGACTGGCGCAAAGAAGCCGGGGCACGCCCTCAGCAGAGATGCCCTAGACAAGGCTTCACCTTCTTCAAGCAGTCAGGCTGACTTGGGTCACATGAGACATGTAACACGTGAGGACAGCACAAAAGCAAGAAATGAGACCAGGCACTGTGCCTGGTAAAGGGAAAGAAACTGTCGAGCCAACGTGCGCACAGCAGAAAGGCCAACTCACACTTGCAGGCACGCACGGCGTGGCAAATTTTCCAATTGAGATCTGAACTCTACGCCGAGCTGCGGACCTCCCACAGCTAGCACTGCTTGGGCCTTGAGCCGACAGATAGCCGATGTTGCCTTCACGAATGCCTGCATAAGTGGCACAGGTGGTGAAGCGGCGCAGCTTTGTGAGCTACGTACTCGAGCCTGGGAAAGCGTCCGTAAACTGTGCAAAATTTCCGCAGATGCACGGGGCGAGGCAAGTCCATAGTGCCCTTGCAGAGTAAGCACTTGCGCTTGATCAAAGGCCCTGGCTTGGAATGCCCGGTGGCTTGACACACAAACACCAACAGGGGCTCTGGAACCATCAAGCAACTCTCAGGAACTGTCAGTGCATTCCTAGAGCCTGTTCTCTAGACTCTAAACAGCTCCAAACAGTTGAACTGTTTGGAACCGTCGGAATTCCTTTCTTCAAAGTTCGAAGGTCCGAATGGGTCTTGAGATTAGTGTGACGGTTCTTGAAACCAGGAAACGCAAGGACAAAAACCCTGTGTTAAACAGACCACCGGTTACTCCAAGCCCTGGCATTCTCACATTGAGTGGGAGAAAGATGCTTTCATCTGCCCGTCTCAAGGCCAAGGGTGCAATTGACACCGGCAGAGCTGTGGCAGTTTGCTGCCGCAGTTCGCCTTTGGATGGTGCAACCATGCTTCGCGTCGACGCGACTGGAGTACGCCTTGACCCACTCCGATGCGCAGAGCTGTGCCCAGATTGGAGCTCACTTCATCGGCAGGGTTACGATGACAAGCAGCGGCCTTACCACGAGTCGGAGATGCCAGGCAAGAAGTCAAGAAGCAAGCGGGGGCCACGGGGCCCGTCTGTCGCCTTCACGAATGCCTGCACAGGTGGCACAGGTGGTGAAGTGGCATAGCTCTTTGAGCTACCTACTCGAGCTTAAGGGCCTAGGAGCTGTGCAGATGCGAGGCTAATGCATAAACTGTGTAAATTGTGCGGAAATTCTGCAGATGCGGGGCCAAACTCAATGCCATGCATGGCGCCCTTGCGAGATTCGCGGCAATCGTGAAGCTCGCAAGGTTGCAGCCAATCGCCAGCTGGCCCTGAACAGAGGGTACTTGCGCTTGATCAGAGGCCCTTGCACTCTCAGACTGAAAAGCGGAAATACATGGGTGAAGCGGGAGTCGCTTTCTTTTGCCCGTCTCCCATAGAAGACATGGAGAGGGGTTTCAAGGGTTTCTGCAAGAGCGAATTCCCAGCCATGCCCGAAACGTTGATGTTCCGGACTCCGACTCTTCTCAGGGCTTCATCTGCTCAGGCTGATCGAAAAGGCTCAGCGGGGAAGGCAGGTCGGCAGATGTCGGCTGACATCCCAAAAAGACGGTGTGTACCTGGTTGCGAACATCTTGAGTGGCCGTCCCTACTTCTGAGGGCAGCGTGAGGACGGAGCAAGCCCTCCCTTTTTCTGAGGGGGGCGGGAGGACCAAACAACCCAAGGGGAGTGCAACACGCAGCACACGCAGACATGCTCATAAAGTCCCCTTGGCAGCAGCAAGCGCATGCGCGTGCGCGCTTGCGGAACTCTTCGAGAAAATGTCGGCTGGCACGGTCTGCTGATGCGAAAGGCATCTCCTCATCGCTTTTCGATCGCTGCATGTTGGACTCGAGTGGGTCATAAAACAAACGCCGTATGCCTCTGCATATGTAGGGCACGTGTGCTTGATCAGAGGCCGGGGCATTCTCAGTAGGGAGGCAGGGAATGGAGAGCACCATGTTCGCCCGTGGACTGCAGCTGTCTCTCGTCGAGACTCAGAAAGGCAACTAGAAAGAAACCAGGCAGAGCAAGAAGGCTCGCACGTCCCTCGTAACCCATGGAAGACTTGGGGAAGGGCCCAGAGAAGCAATCGCCAACAATGGCATGCTCTGGTCTCCTGCCCTTCCTGGAGCATCATCTGCCTCGGCCAATGTCGGCTGCTGTTGAGAGTAGAATGTCCAGTCCACGCGATCGCCCGATTTAAAGCGCTCACTCAGTTTGCTAGCTTGCTTAAACGTACCTTGTGGCTTTCTCCGGGTGCAGTGGGCTTGTCCATTTTTTGCAACATTGGGAAGGGCTCGTTACCTGGAAAAAACAAGGGAATGTGTGCAAGTATCCCTGATCAGGGGACTGGTGCAAAGACGATCTGAGCAGAGATGCCCTAGACAAGGCTTCACCTTCTCCAACATGAGAACAGCACGGAAGCAAGAAATGAGACCAGGCACTGCGGCTGGTGAAGGGGCAGGAACTGTCGAGCCAACGTGCGCACAGCAGAAAGGCCAACTCACACTTGCAGGCACGCACGGCGTGGCAAATTTTCCAATTGAGATCTGAACTCTACGCCGAGCTGCGGACCTCCTACAGCTAGCACTGCTTGGGCCTTGAGCCGACAGATAGCCGATGTTGCCTTCACGAATGCCTGCACAGGTGGCACAGGTGGTGAAGTGGCACGGCTCTTTGGGCTACGTACTCGAGCCTGGGAAAGCGTCCGTAAACTGTGCAAAATTGCCGCAGATGCACGGGGCGAGGCAAGTCCATAGTGCCCTTGCAGAGTAAGCACTTGCGCTTGATCAAAGACCCTGGCTTGGAATGCCCGGTGGCTTGTTTGTGTGTCAGCACCAACAGGGGCTCTGGAACCATCAAGCAACTCTCAGGAACTGTCAGTGCATTCCAAGAGCCTGTTCTCTAGACTCTAAACAGCTCCAAACAGTTGAACTGTTTGGAACCGTCGGAATTCCTTTCTTCAAAGTTCGAAGGTCCGAATGGGTCTTGAGATTAGTGTGACGGTTCTTGAAACCAGGAAACGCAAGGACAACAACCCTGTGTTAAAAAGACCACCGGTTACTCCAAGCCCTGGCATTCTCACATTGAGTGGGAGAAAGATGCTTTCATCTGCCCGTCTCAAGGCCAAGGGTGCAATTGACACCGGCAGAGCTGTGGCAGTTTGCTGCCGCAGTTCGCCTTTGGATGGTGCAACCATGCTTCGCGTCGACGCGACTGGAGTACGCCTTGACCCACTCCGATGCGCAGAGCTGTGCCCAGATTGGAGCTCACTTCATCGGCAGGGTTACGATGACAAGCAGCGGCCTTACCACGAGTCGGAGATGCCAGGCAAGAAGTCAAGAAGCAAGCGGGGGCCACGGGGCCCGTCTGTCGCCTTCACGGCACAGGTGGTGAAATGGCACAGCTCTTTGAGCTACTTACTCGAGCCTAAGGGCCTAGGAAGTGTGCAGATGCGAGGCCAATGCATAGTGCCCTTGCGAAATACGCGGCAATCGTGAAGCTCGCAAGGTTGCAGCAAGTCGCCAGTTGGCCCTGAACAGAGGGTACTTGCGC